CGCCGCCGCCAAGCCCCGCCCCCGGCGGGGTGTGGTTTGGCTTCCCTGCTCCAACCGCGGTCTCAGGAAGATCCGAGGTGCTGAGAGAAATAAAGTATGTTTTGGCAGGCGTTTTCTGTGATGACTGCAGGCGCTTACAGGGAGGAAGGATATGGGAAGATGTGTCATCTCTGTTCTCGATAGCTGGGACCCACTCTCCCCTTGGGGCCTATTTCAACAACTCCAGTGAATTCTATTGCCCACGCCTGGTCTCTAGCCCAGACCTGTCGCATGAGCCTCATTGTCGTCCCAGAAGTGCATCTCTTCCCCTGTTCTCCGTTTCCATAAATAGCACCCTCTGCCTTCCACTACTGAAGCCTAAACCCGGGCCCCGAGCCTCACACCAAACAGGTGCTCAGCTACAAAACGTGTGTTTACCAAGTGACTCCTGGGTCACTCCTACAATAGCGAGCATGAAAGAACTTGACCATTCTGAGCTCCCAAGTTATACCCCACGCCACTTTCTTCTAAATTCTAGAATCCTCCATATGTACCTACCTGCTCTGCAATTCCACTTCGATGTCAACTAGGCACAGCAAAGTGACATGTTCAAACCTGGCTTCTCCGTTCTTCCTTTTCTCCGAAATGCTGTCTTCATAGTCTTTGCTATCTCCATAAATAACTCTGTTCTTCCAGGTCCTTAGAACCAGAAAGACTCTTCCATTTCTCTTTCAATATACGAACATCCCATCTAACCATTTTCCACTTTCTGCACTACTACTGCCCTTGTTCAAAGCAATCTTATGTATCACCTGGATTATTGCAATATTTATTTATGTGCTTTTGGAAACTGAGTCTTGCTATGTAGCCTAAGCTGGCCTTAGCCTCCCAAGTGGTGGGATTACAGGCGTGCACAACCGTAACTAGCTGCAGTACCCCATCTCCCTGTCCATCCTTTTCTTGCTGATAATGTGTTGTCAGTAATGTGAAAAAAAAAAAGAGAGATGCTTTAAAATATAGATCATAAACCAGCCATGGTGGTGAACTCCTGTAATCCAAGCACTTGGGAGGCTGAGGCAGGAGGATCGCTGAAAGTTTGAAGCCAGCCTGGGCTACATAGTGAGACCCTACCTCAAAAAAGCAAAACAAAATAAAATGCAGACGATATATCACTTCCCTTCTCAAAGTTTTCCAATGGCCTCCCATTGCACTAAGACTAAAATTCTTTAAGGCTTCACACGAAATTTTCAGGGTCACCTTTCTAGTGAGAAGATGCTTTGTAAAGTTTTTACCTGCAATAGCCAAAATGACCTCAATATCCACTAAGCATACCAGGCATTATTCTGCCTCAGGACTTTTGTATGTGCTATTCCCTCTGTCCAAAATACTTTTCTCCAAATAAATGACTTCCTTTATTAAGCTAGAAAAATAAGGAAAAATTAAACCTAAAGAAATCAGAAGGAAGGCTGGGCATGGTGGCACACGTCTGTAATCCCAGCACTCAGGAGGTTGAGGCAGGAGGATTGCCATGAGTTCAAGGCCAGCCTAAACTGCATAGTGAAACCCTGTGTCAAAAAGACAAAAAAGAAAGAAAGAAAGGAAAGGAAAGAAGTAGGATGTAGTGACACACACTTGTAATCTCAGCACTTGGGAGGCTGAGGCAGGAGGATTGCTGTGAATTCAAGGTCAGCCTGAACTACACAGCAAGACCCTGTCTCAATAACTAAATAAATAGGGGTTGGGGATTTAGCTCAGTGGCACATGCTGCCTGCCAAGCTTGAGGTCCTGAGTTTGATCCCCAGTATCCAAAAATAAACAAACAAATAAATAAATTCGAGAAGGAGTGAAATAATAAAGACTACAGTAGAGATAAACAACCAAAGAATAATAAAAAAAAAAACAGACAAAAACAAAACTAAAATTTTTGATTTTTCTTTTTCAGTGCTGAGACTTAAACCCAGGGCTTTCTGCATGCCAGGAAAAGGCTCTGCCACTGAGCTACACCTCCAGCCCCAAAAATTGGTTCTTTAAAAAGATAATCAAAATAGACAAACCCGGGGGTAGGGGTATAACTCACATACTAAGCATGTGCAAGGCCCTTGGTTCCATCCCCAGCACTACATATGCACACATGGAGAAACGTTCAGCTAGGTGGACAGGGAAAAAAAGAAAGAAGATATAAAGTATGAAAATCAAGAATGAAGCTAGCTGGGCCTGATGGCATTTGCTTGTGATCCCAGCACTCTGGAAGCCTGAGGCAGGAGGATCCCAAGTTGAGCAACAGCCTTAGTAACTTATTGACTTTGTTGGTTTGTGTTTTATTTTGTTTTCCTTTTGAGACAGTGTCTCTCTCACTATATAGCCCAGGCTGACCTTGAACTCACTTTGCAGCCCAAACTGGTCTGAATCTTACAGTGATCTTCCTGCCTCAGCCTCCCGAATCCTGGAATTACAGGTGTGTGCTACCACACCCAGCAAGATAGTCAATATGAAATGGAAAAACTCTTAGACATAAACTAGACTGGAGGTGTCACTCATTGGTAGAATGTTTACCTCGTATGTGTGAGGACCTGGGTTTGATCCGCAATATTGCAAAACAAAACAAACAATGATAATAATTCCCCAAATTAATCCACAGAGTAAATGCAATCATACCAAAATGCCAACAGCTTTTTTTTTCAGAAATTAATGGGTTAATCCTAAACTTCATATAGAAATGAGATCCAGATATCCAAACAATCATTTTTCTAATTTTTTTTCCTACAGTCCTGGGGACTTAATTCAGGGCCTGGCATTGAGCTACATCCCCAGTCCATCACTCCCACCCCCTTTTTTTAAGATAAGGTCTTGCTAAATCCACCAGGCTAACTTGGAACTTGTGATCAGCCTCCTGAGTAGCTGGGATTACAGGCATGTGTCACTGGCAGGCACTTGCTGGGTGGCCCACTGATTATTTTTTTAAGACAATTATGATTTTATTCCTTGTTTTGCAAATCATGCAGGCTGAGTAGTTTGTTTTTTGGTGATCAACCACAGAGACCGAATCCAACATCCTCATCTGACTCCTCTGACTCTTCCTTGGTTGGGGTGGCTGCAGCAGCAGGAGTAGCAGTGGTGGTAGCAGCAACAGGGGCAGCAGCCACAAATGCAGATGGACCAGCCAAGAAGTCCTTGACTTTTTCAGTAAGTGGAAAGGTGTAATCAGCCTCTACAGACAAAGCCAAGACCTGCTTGTCCCCACTGATGACAGAATGGGGTACTGATGAAACAGTGGGGTAACCAATCTGCAGACAAACACCTGCAACATTGCGGACACCCTCCAGAGAGTGCAAATGCAGAGTTTCCTCGGTAATGTCAAGCATTTCAGAGTTGTAGATGCTGCCCTTGTCAAACACCTGCTGAAGGATCAGCCCAGAGGAGAATGGGAGATTTTCAACATGTTCAGGAGGGTGGCCTTGCTGGCTCCCACTTTATCGCTACTCTTAATCAGCTGCACATCACTCAGGATTTCAGTGGTGACCAGGACATTTTAGTGGTGATGCCCAGAGCCTGGAAGAAGGAGGTCTTCTCAGGCCCTAGGCCAGTGTTCTGGGCTGGGACAGTGACTTCACACGGTGCACTGGCACCAGCACAGGCAGCAGCTGGCCCCTTGTGGGCCAGCAGCATATCCCTGGTCTCAGTGAGGTCCTCCTTGGTGAACACAAAGCCACATTCCCCCAGATATGTGGCAACAGTTTCTCTAGAAACATCTCCACAGCCTTCGCATCACAGTGCTCTTGTCCATCAGCATCACGGCCTTCCCTCGGAGAGACGTGCAGCTCTGCCTCATCTGCTTTGGGACCACACTGTCTGCTTCCACAATAAAGCATTTTGGATAATCACCCGAAAGTTGGATCATCTTAAGGAAGTAGTTGGATTTCCAGGTCACCTTGTCTTCCCTGAGCATCACAGGGATGCATCCGGGATTACCACACAGGGCTTAAAGATGATGTCACATTCGTGAGGACACCTGGAAAGACAACCAGTTGATTTGTTTGCTTTTTGTTTTTTGATACAAGGTCTTGCTATGTAGTTCAGGCAATGTAGCCCAAGCTAGTCATGTAGTTCTTGCTACGTAGTTCAGAACTACTATGTAGCCCAAGCTGGGCTCAAACTCTCTGCCTCAGCCTCCCAAGTGTTAGGATTACAGGCATGGGCCACCACGTCCAGCTGAGAGCCAGTTGATTTTTGACAAGGGTGTCAAGACCATTCAATGGGGAAAGAATAATCTTTTTAGCCTAGCGTAGTGCCACGCACTTGTAGTCTCAACAAAAACGTAAAAATTTTTGGGTACTGGGAGTTGAACTCAGAAGGCAGGCACTGAGCCACTAAGCTATATCCCTGACCAAAAAAGTAAGAATTAAAAATAATTTTTAAAAATAAATAAAAAATATTGAAGCTTTTATAAAGTGAGAAGACAAGCTAATAGGAGAAAAACATTTGCAAATTATATATCTCATGTTTCTAGTAAGCAGGATATAAAAAGAACACTTGCAATGCAGTAACAAAACCACTAATAGTTTAATTTAAACATGAGCAGCTAGGTATGGTGGCGCACATCTGTAATCTCAGCACATGGGAGGCTGAGGCAGGAGGATCACAGTGAGTTCAAGACCAATCTAGGCTACACAGTGAGCTTGAGGCCACTATATAGCAAGGCCCCATCTCAAAAAAAATTAAACAAAAACAAACCACAAAAATGAGCAAAGCGAGGGGCTGAGGATTTAGCTCAGTGGTAAGGCTCCTGTGTGGAAAGTATGAGGTTCTGAGTTCAATTCTCAGTGCCTCCCCACCACCGGCTCCCCCAAATTCCATTTTTTGTGTGTGTGTGTGTCGTCTTTTTGAGACAGGGTCTCACTATGCAGTTCAGGTTGGTCTTGAACTCAGTTTGTAGCCCAGGCTGGCCTTGCACCTGAAACGATCCTTCTGCCTCAGCCTCCCAAGTGCTGGGATTACAGGCCTGCGCCACCACGCCCGCTCCCCCCCCCCAATTCAACAAACAAACAAACAAATTAGAAGATCATAAAAAATACACATTTTGGGCCGAAGGTATAGTTCAGTGGCACAGCACCTGCCTGGCTAGCGCGAGGT